CAGTAGACCTAGTCTCTCCAAAGCATATCATATGCTTTTCTACATCAAAGAAGATGATATCATCTTCCAAACATAAGACAGGATCCATCGTCCCTCTTCCTCTACGAAAACCACTCTGATAGTGGTTATGAATGCTAATATATTTCTTGACTAAAAATTGTACCAATCTCTCATTCACCATCCTTTCCATCAGTACATCAGCAGCCATTTCCGTAGTTCTTGTAAGTATTATTGGCGGTTGGCAAACAACTGCATGGTGCATCCCCGCCACCACTGGTGTGGACAGGAATCACGCTCAAAAACAAAACAAAACAAAAAACCTTCATATCCTTCCAACCTTCCTTCTCTCAAAAACTGAAACAAAGCCTCATAACATTTATCCCCGACTCCTTCTGAAACAGCAACAAGATCCAATTTCATATTAATTACTGAGATTTTGGACCAATTTTCTCCTCTCTACCTTATACTTCTGACACTGCAATAACATGCGCCAAAATTTCCTTCTCTCCACAATAATCACATTTCCCTATGTTTCCTATGTTTCCCTATCAAGAATAGTGTAGAGTTCAAAACTGTATGTCCAAATCTCAGTCTTGACACCACCACCTCCTCTTGCCAACTCCTTCTTGTGGCTCTCCTTACTGAACCTCTATTAAAATATCTGACCTACATTTCGAATGACCGTTCTGTAGAGTAACCAAGGCTGCACTTGAATCTAAACAAATAATTGTTTTAAATGGCCTCAAATCTTCCACCCACTGTACCGCTAATAGAATTGCTATCATTTCTCCTGTAAACACAGACAATCCATCATTAATCCTCTTCCCAATTTTTACCATAAAGTCTGGAATTACTACTGCCATCCCCACTTGACTAGCTGGATTCTTTGAAGCATCCGTATATACTTGCACATACCCATAATACTGATCGATGTAACCCTGAACTGTATTTGAGTCTAGAGCGTCTGCCAGCACAATATATACCGATTTCTGCTCCTCTCTGTATAGGTAATAAAACTCTCTATGGGTAACAAAACACACCAGTGGCAGGGTAGATTAAAGGTTTTACACTTTTACTGTTGTTCACATTTATTGCCCCCATTGTATAGTGTTAAGTTGGGGAAGGTGTGGCTTTTTAACTTGGAAATCTGATTTGAGGAGATGGCATTCCAGTTTCAAATTCCAGCGGGGAACTTGGAAATTCAGATTTAATCTCAAACACCGTGAGCACATAAAGCAAAAGCACAGGCGGTACCATGAACGAGCTGGGACAGGATCAGTGGTAGATTTTTATCCTGCTTCACAGCTTTCTGCTGTAGATTTTATTTATAGGTCTGCTACATCTTTTACAATGCTGCTGTCCAGCTTCGTCAGTGTTTTTTAATAACACTGCACACCATGCTAGGTTTTCCACTGTTGGTGAAGTGAATCAGCTTGTCGGTGCAAGACTGTTACGTGTCAAACTGAGTTCTCTTTGGTAGTTTTCAGAGAGAAAAAAGAATAGGAAAAAATGTTTTTTGAGAAAAACAAACAAAACGTTGTTAAGGAGCTTGGCTGAGTGTGGCTTATCACTGAAAAATAGATTCAGTATTTCTGTTGTATTTAGTTGTGACTGAATAACTGCACCAGTCAAAGGTTTGGACACACCTGAGGCCACGAGTGTTTCTCATTATCTGAGACGACCCTTTCCCCGTTGTACACAGTGAGCCATATAACAAATATTTATTTAAAATTTGTTCTGAATTGATAACAGTACATTGATAAATTTTAGATCTACAAATTTTGAACATGACATAGCTGTGGGTGTATGTGGTTTGGTTTTCCTCACTGGGCTGTAGCTCCTGATTCATCCCAGACAAATATTCATAAACAGTACATACATGATTGCCTTTTACTGTATTGTCTCATTAGAATTTGTTGCTGTTGTTCCATGATTTAAAAATTGGTTGATGCTGCATTTTCTTTTGTTTAGTTCTTTGTATTTATTTAGTATTTAGTATTTATTTATTTATTTATTGTCATTGTCAAGAACAATGAAATTTATTTTGTGTTTTGTGTTTTTTTCAGCATTTATTATATTTACTAGTGTTTACTTTAGTTGCAGTGCATTTGACCTCTCAGGGCTACTATACAAATACACCAACGCAGTGTAGTTTTTCACGTTATTAGATTTTTATTAGTCATATTACATGATTTTGAATTATATGTCAGTGCATGTTGTTTACCTTCAGTGTGTGCTCAAAACTCTTTTGCAGCTTTCTGTTCGAGACTTTAATGGAAACTGTTGCTCTGCCAGCCCATCATGTCCCTCACCATCATCATCAAGTTTTGTTTATTTAAACATTTTCCTTTTCACTCTTCACTTGCTTAGTGTTTATATTTGCTTCGCCATGTATTTCTTTACTACGTTATTCCCAAATTGTGGGCCAACGACCCCTTGTGGACTGCAAAGGTACTGCAGCCACAGTAGTAACAGAAATTCAGTTTCAAATTACTCACCTGTATAAATGGATTTAGTATAATATAATTGGTAATAGGAGGCGGTTAGTGTGTAATATTACTCATTACCCTGGACCAGATTTACTGCCCTTGTATTGAAATTTGTGTCCCAGCAGCAGGTTGGTCACACATCAACATTAACACTTTGCATATGACTGAGCAGCAATTTAGAGCCAGCAGCCTGTGTTGTTGATGTTTTTTTAAATACAGTTTTAAAATTGTTGTCACTTTCTTTTGTTTTTCATTCAAGTGAAGATTTAAGTCATTTTCTGGTTTTTAAGTGGACCACAGCACTCTTAATTTTATGAATGGCTGTCTTAATGTATTTAGCCTCCAGTTGTTAGTTCCTGGTTGCATTAGTTGTTCCCTGTGTTTGTTTCTCTTGTTATTTGTTGACATTCAAGTTAATTCCTGTTTCTGTGTTTCCCCGTTCAGTTATTCTCACTTTCTGTATATTTATTTTGATGCCATCTTATCTCCTTTGCATTGATTTTATCTGGTTTGTGTTTAATCTCACGTTCCCTCCTGTCACGCAGTCTTTGTTTGCATCTCATTTTTCACAGCCAAATAAATTACCTATTTATAAACTACTGCCCGTATTTCTTGTCTGCATTTTGGGTCCTCAAATCTGTCAAATCTATCTGGGTGTATAAACAGTACAGTGTGTATGAATGATCTGAAACCTTGGCCCATTGTCCCAGTGGAGATTTATAACTTGATTTCTACAGAACCTTCATTACTGCAGCTTTATTAGGAAGTTAAAGGGACTAGATTTTAATATGTGCTTTAAGAAAAAGAGAGAGAGATTGTCAGGTGTGCCGTGGGAATTTATTTAATTTTAATTAGTTGCTCCAAAAAACACAATTTAATAATTACTACAAGTAATAAAATCATAGTTGGGCATCTGTGCTTTCAATGCAGTGACTGGTAGAGTCTTTCATGTCAGTGGGTAGCGCAATATCACCTTGTTGAGTTAAGACAGAGTTCGTGATGTGCGCGCTACGTGGCAGCTGCAAGACGTACAACAAAGATGGATAAATATTTGAAAAGAAAAACTGCGGACTCAGAACTGAGCCCTGGAAAAAATTCTAATCCAGGAGAGCTGAGTATGAGCGGTAGTCAAAAGAAAGCAAAAATGGTGAGCTCGAGAAAGCGATACACCCAGATGTTATTGTTTTCTGCACCGTAAGGTGTTCGTTCCCAAGACTTTACCAGCAGACCTAGCTCCTGTGTCGGATGATGTTGTGCGCATGGTAAACGTCATCAAGACAAGACCTCTGAAAGGCCGCATATTTTTGCATCTCTGTGCGAGGAAATGGGAGATGCAGATTTCTGTCAGAATCTGCAGATTATACAGTACAAATAAAATGTTCACGTTGTCTTCCCAACAGTTTCACTGACATCTACACTGGATGCCCAGGAAGCGTTCACTATGTCTTCTCTGGCGCTGATACACTCAAAAAAATGAATGAGGGGGATTGTTCAGTGTATATTAATTATTTATTTTCATTTTACTTAAAATATATGTTTTTGTTAAGTTAACACATGTTTTTCTAATCAAGTCTATGTAATTGTGTCTATTACTCAACGTACATAATACTAATGTGTTACTTGATGGCATAACATTTAAGTTAAGTCAATTAGGATCGATATACCTTGTATATCCACAAGGTGGCAGTAATGCAAAAACAGTTGTAATGAAACCGCGCAGAACAAGAAGGTTTCACGGCTTGTACCTGCTCATGCGCAAGACTTCAAATTTAATTGAAAAACGCTGTTTTGGCGCCAAGCTGCTGTTTCTTTGAGAGGCAAGACCACTTTTTTCTTTGACTATGTTGTGTAGTATCTATATGTCCAGCATGGTTATATTTTGCGTTTGTCTTATAAGACATGTTATATCGTTTGCGTGTGCTTGTTTTACATTAGTTTTACTGGGTCCTGGACATGCTTATTTTGTGGACTGTGTAAGAAACATTTTTATTGTTTTTTGTTTTATTAAGGGATTAGCTACAGGGGTTCATGGGGTTATTCTTTCAAGGGGTTATTTTTCCATTTGCTTTCTTGGGATTCCTTCTCTGTAATCCGAGAGTCGGAAATATCGAATAGGATAGCAAGGATAGCATAAAGTGACATTTCAAATCCAAAAAGTCAAGGGCGAAAGCCACTGTGACACCATTGTTCTGCTCTATCAGTAATCTGTATTATGTAAAAATGGTCTGTAAATACAGCATGTTTCCTAGCGGAGTTATACATATCAATGTAGTTATAAATTACAGTTTATGAAAGTACACACTTAATTTTTAAAATAAAATTATTCACGACATATGAGTGGACAGACAATGGAGGTCGACAGACCTGGTGATAATTGCTTCTATAGAAAGTTAGCACATGGCAGTGTCAATCTCTTGCTTTTCTTCTGAGTAGTATTTTATTTAGTTGTAATTCAAACAATAATTTGCTTCTTGAAATTAAGTAATGAGTTTCTTGTTTTACTTTATAAATCTCAGATCCTGCCTTTACCTGCTCCCTCCTATACTGATGTGGTGTATGTGGTATTGCTGAGCTTGTATGTGGTATGTGAACTGTTATACTTTTAAAAACAAAACTGTTTTATAAGTTAAGTTTTCTTTTGTGACCCATCCCATGCCCCTGTTATTTCGTCTCCACATCTGAACCATGGTAAAGGTTGCAGTTCAAGGGCCTGAGGCATGAAATTCTTTTCAGATCAGCTGTGATCAATATTTTTTGGAACTTGATAAATAACAATAAAAGCTGTAATGGCTCAATTAGCATTTTGTGTAAATGTTTGTGTTAAAATTATAGCTTTAATGAGGTCTTACTACATTAGTTTTAGTTTGTATATGTGTACATATAGTATGTATATTTACAGTACAGTATGTTGTGTTTGTTGACATATTTTCAGGTGGAAGCAGAATATGTGAGGATTACTACTGCTGCACATGTTCCAAGGCTTTTTACACAACTTGACCAATACACTGACCAGCTCATAAAAGTCTTCAAGAAAAAAAGGAGGCGTTGCAGGGAAGAAAATTAGACAAACTTTGGCCCCAGCCACACAGGTGCGTTATTCTGTTGGTAGCAAAATATTATGGCTAATAAGATCATTTTCAAATTTAAACAGCTAGTGTATGGTAGCTGCACAGTGCACTTACATTTATATTAAGCAAGACAAAGTTTGGTACTCAAAACGTTGGAAAATTTAAATTACCTAAACATATGTAAAATCTGATCCCTTGATTTAGGTTAAACCAGAAGTGAATGTTTTTATGTTATGTTTTGAATGCAAAGAAGATGATGTATTAGTTTGTCTTTACCTCCATTATGGACATATATAATGTGGTGGAAACCCTGCCCAACAGGTTAACTATTCATGTCCATGTGATGATTAGTTGGTCTTGTGTTCATGTCTATCTGTGCAGTGGATATGTCATTCATTTTGCGTATAATGTGAGTTTGTGTCATCCTAAAGTATATCTGTTTTCTCTTCCTGTATCTCTGCCACTCTCTACAGAAGGAAACCATTGAAAAGGGGAGGGAGTGTGTCCTCAGGGCACTACCTTTTTACCTGAATGAAGACCCAAGCATCCTCTTCAAAGAATAACTGGTTGGTAATTTTAGTTTAGTTTTTTATCTGTATTAAACCAAATTTTGAATAACTAATGTTGTTGCATGTTGTAATGTTGTTGTTGTTGTAATTTGCATGGAACCTGTTTAAATGTTTTGGGAAATCTTCTTGTATACCCAAACTATTTATATTTATCGTTGAATCTGTAGTCTGAAATAGTGGCGCACTGGGGTGCATGTTCCTAATATTGTGTTTACGTCATTAAAGGGTAGCTTTGGCCCTTTTTCTTTCTTTTTTTAAAACTGGATGCCATTTTTCTATGTTTTTGTGTCTAAGCTACAGCTGTTCAGAAGGAGCTGGAACAAATTACCCTTGCTATCTTTACCATCAAAAGAGCTGATGCCAGCACTCCTCCAGCCGATGTGGGTATAACCATCTAGTGTGTCCTGCATGACCTGGAAGACCTGGCCTCTGCATGTGCACTCTTAATGGGTGGGATATACAGTGGGGCAAAAAAGTATTTAGTCAGCCACCGATTGTGCAAGTTCCCCCACTTAAAATGATGACAGAGGTCAGTAATTTGCACCAGAGGTACACTTCAACTGTGAGAGACAGAATGTGAAAAAAAATCCATGAATTCACATGGTAGGATTTGTAAAGAATTTATTCGTAAATCAGGGTGGAAAATAAGTATTTGGTCACCTCAAACAAGGAAAATCTCTGGCTCTCACAGACCTGTAACGTCTTCTGTAAGAAGCTTTTCTGTCCCCCACTCGTTACCTGTATGAATGGCACCTGTTTGAACTCATCATCTGTATAAAAGACACCTGTCCACAGCCTCAAACAGTCAGACTCCAAACTCCGCCATGGCCAAGACCAAAGAGCTTTCGAAGGACACCAGGAAAAGTATTGTAGACCTGCACCAGACTGGGAAGAGTGAATCTACAATAGGCAAGCAGCTTGGTGTGAAAAATCAACTGTGGGAGCAATCATCAGAAAATGGAAGACATACAAGACCACTGATAATCTCCCACGATCTGGGGCTCCACGCAAGATCTCATCCCGTGGGGTCAAAATGATCATGAGAACGGTGAGCAAAGATCCCAGAACCACACGGGGGGACCTGGTGAATGACCTGCAGAGAGCTGGGACCAAAGTAACAAAGGTCACCATCAGTAACACACTACAACGGCAGGGAATCAAATCCCGCAGTGCCAGACGTGTTCCGCTGCTGAAGCCAGTGCATGTCCAGGCCCGTCTGAAGTTTGCCAGAGAGCACATGGATGATACAGCAGAGGATTGGGAGAATGTCATGTGGTCAGATGAAACCAAAGTAGAACTTTTTGGTATAAACTCAACTCGTCGTGTTTGGAGGAAGAAGAATACTGAGTTGCATCCCAAGAACACCATACCTACTGTGAAGCATGGGGGTGGAAACATCATGCTATGGGGCTGTTTTTCTGCCAAGGGGACAGGACCACTGATCCGTGTTAAGGACAGAATGAATGGGGCCATGTATCGTGAGATTTTGAGCCAAAACCTCCTTCCATCAGTGAGAACTTTGAAGATGAAACGAGGCTGGGTCTTCCAACATGACAATGATCCAAAACACACCGCCCGGGCAACAAAGGAGTGGCTCCGTAAGAAGCATTTGAAAGTCCTGGAGTGGCCTAGCCAGTCTCCAGACCTCAACCCCATAGAAAATCTGTGGCGGGAGTTGAAAGTCCGTGTTGCTCGGCGACAGCCCCAAAACATCACTGCTCTCGAGAAGATCTGCATGGAGGAATGGGCCAAAATACCAGCTACTGTGTGTGCAAACCTGGGGCCCGTTCTTCGTACGTCGCTTACTACATCCAAGATCAAACCATCGCGCTAACCGTGAGCTCTCTAATCCGGTTCCCCGAACACACCTGCTGTTGACGATTACTACAGCTGGATGAAGTAATGTGAGATCACTGGGTGTCGTAAAAGGGGCTACGCATCGATAGTGGAAACATTGATCGGCAACCCTCTGATTGGTCGGCGAAAATGTCGAAGGAGCGCGCTCGGCTCGGTATTTTTCAGCAGCAGAGCAAGAACTCTTGAGTGAGGGATTTCAGGAGTTTCAGAGTTTAATCAGAACGCAAGGGAACACTGCAAAGGCTGCAAAAGCAAGGAGAGAGGGCTGGCAGAAAGTTGCTGACAAATTAAACTCGTAAGTAATTTAATAATAATAATAATGGATTGGATTTATATAGCGCTTTTCAAGGCACCCAAAGCGCTTTACAATTCCACTATTCAGTCACTCTCACATTCACACACTGGTGGAGGCAGCTACGGTTGTAGCCACAGCTGCCCTGGGGCAGACTGACAGAAGCCAGGCTGCCATATTGCGCCATCGGCCCCTCTGGCCAACACCAGTAGGCGGTAGGGTAGATTTATTATATTACACTATATTATCCAATATTAGATTACATTATATTATATTATGTTATATTATATCCTCTTTCACATTAGAGCCACAACAGGACCCACTAGAACATGAGAACAAGTAAAAGTGAAATATAAGAATATTCTACAGAATGGTAATATTTATCACTTATATTGCTTTTCGTCTCTTGCAAAGAGACCCTGAAATAATCTGTTTGTTTGTTTATAACACCAACCAAGAAAAGGGCAGAGCAAAAAAAAAGACAGGTGGTGGTCCTGCACCCCCTCGTCAACAAGTTGGTTAAGTAAATTATATCCTCACAGGAAAATCGATATCTCTCTATGAGCACACTGTCGCGCTGAGCTAAAGGATCCTGTCTGTCCCGCAATATACGCTGAATTCTGAGGACTCTCCTTATCAATCTTGCACCTTCCGCAATGGGTGGCTCGCGTAAACGAACAGGACATGGCTGCGACAGGCTTCCCAAATCCACCTTGGCTTTTATAGCCGTGGTCTCTCATCTTGATTACACGAAGTAATTTACAATTACTACTCTGAAATATGAATTACATCTGTAATAATCACATACATGTAATAGAATGTTAATAGTACATTTCCCTTTTTTAGGAAATGACCTGTATGTATCTGTGTGACATCAATACAAGGATCAAGTGCTGCATTATCTTTAGTTACATTGATGTTATTTATTTATGGTGAAACAGTGGTGGAATATCGCTGTTGCTTTCGTATAAATGAAGCGGACATACCTGCGTGGCCGCGATCTAATCCTGTTTACATAAAGTGAACCTGCTCCCGAGCAGGTTTACGCTTACGGCTCTGTTGCTATGACAGCAAGTCCCGGATGAGCTTCGGGGAACCGAACGATCCAAGATCACGCGAAATCGTCAACAATCAAATCCAGCTAACTCACTTAGCGCCGTACGAAGAACGGGCCCCTGGTAAAGACCTATAGTAAACGTTTGACCTCTGTTATTGCCAACAAAGGTTATGTTACAAAGTATTGAGTTGTATTTTTGTTATTGACCAAATACTTATTTTCCACCCTGATTTACGAATAAATTCTTTACAAATCCTACCATGTGGATTCATGGATTTTTTTTTTTCACATTCTGTCTCTCACAGTTGAAGTGTACCTCTGGTGCAAATTACTGACCTCTGTCATCATTTTGAGTGGGGGAACTTGCACAATCGGTGGCTGACTAAATACTTTTTTGCCCCACTGTATGCACTGAATCTCAGTTAACCTCGAGACTGAAAGCTTTCTTTGAAGTACTTCAGAAGCTCTTCCTTCATCTGTATGTCAGCAGACTCTTGACCAAGGTACAGTTGCTCAAGAATAAACTGAATGAATAAACCAACCCTTAATTTGGATGATGAATGTTCTGTCAGATGGACAGAAGTTTTTCGGAGGCTGAATGGGAATAAAATGGTAATTTGTAAATGACAGATAAAGGGAAAATTACATTTAAGAGAAATTTAGAACATTTTGAAAAGTTTGTAATCTACTACAATTTGAGAGATTTTACTGTTGTGGGGGGCTAGTAAGAGACAATCAAAAGTATTGAGATTTAAAGGATTTAATTGAGAGATGATACTGCACCAGAAATGTTGAAGGGTGGTGTGTATATTAGCGTCAAGGCATATTGTTATGAGGTGGAAATATGTTCATATTCAGTTTGTGTTACATTGTGTGCATTGTAAAGGTAATTGCAATACATACTAAGAATAAGGGTAAGTTAGGAATGCAGGATGAATGTATATTTTGTGGACTTTTAAAGACGAACAATTGTTTCCATGTTAAAATGTTTACATCTGAAGTTTTTTTGCCCAAACACTGGTAAAATAAATGTTGACAGTGGCGAGTGTTAAATGGTTACTGCTGTGCTGTTGCAAAAAACTGAACGCTGACAAGCTGTTTTATTGTTAGATCATAATGTTGGCATGTTTTATTTGGGATGGTGATGTAATTTTCTTTGGTTGCTAATATCAGTGGACTATTTATTATTATTATTATTATTATTATTATCATTATTATTACATTAATTAATTTTTTTAATTGTGGCTGTTGAGGTGGACACTTCACTTTGCATTGTTAAAGGAAAGCACTTCATTGGCATTGTGTTACTGGACTGACCCTAAGCAATCATTGCAAATAGCAACTGTGCTATTCATTTAAGACACTAAAAGAAAAAAACACTCACAGACCTTACTAGCATCACATGTGCATAACTCAAGTGTCATCTTATCAATGTGTTATGTGGTCTTCAATGTTTTTTTCTTCTATTTCTGGCAGATACAGACATTTAATTTAAAGTCGTGATGTTGCATCTGTCTACATACTGTTAATTACTAACCCTAATGAGCTGTTGTGTTTTATTTTGGACTGGGTTTACACAAATGCTCACTGAATGTGTTGGCAATAAAAGAAATTTTAAAAAACAAGTTGGATGTACTTAATTCATTTGTGTGGAACCTGTTGACAAAATAGATTCATGTAAAACTAATTAGTAAAGCACAAGGTGGCTGAAAATATAATATTTGAATTAATCTAACTTAAATTTAACATTTTACTGCCAAAAATAAGAAATGTGTTGAAGTAAC